TCCCCCCCCCCCCCCGTTTCTTTTCTTGTCTTTTTTTCTTTCCCAACTGCTTGAAACCTTCTGCAACATGAACAGGACAGATAATAGATTATAATCCCTGTCACTCAAGTCACTGTAAATTCTGCTTTTTTGGATGTGTATTTGAGAGTTTTCTGAATTGCTATGGTTACTGTTTTAAAACCGCCAATTATGCAGTTATAATAGTCCATGGCATTTTTGGAAAACAGGGTGCTGACAGCTAAGCAGGGAATTGTTTGTGGAAACTTCAGCACGCATTACATATATACAAAGTACCAGAGGAATGCAAGTTTTTTTTTTTTTTGGTAAATTAACCTACATTATCATTTATTTACTTTATCAAATTTACAGTGCCACCCAAGTTGATCAAGTCTGGGGAGCTTACAATTAAAACCCATTCAGATGGCCAAACCAAAATAAAAATAATGGACACCAAAAAGAACAAGATGTGAGCATGAAAAACTTTCAACAAAAGCAACAGCTCATCCCAGGGCCTGGAGGAAGAGCCAGTTCTTCAAGGATCATTTAAAAGTATGATGGGGTTGGGACAATTTGAACTTCTGGGGCAATATTATTAAGGTTATTATTGGACAGAAAAGAGATGCTTCCTGAGACTTATTAGATAACATTGTTTCAAAACCCAGAGCATGCCCTTTCTGCCAGATCTTACAGAGCAAACTGAGTTAATGGAAGAAAGGTGGTCCTCCAGATAATCAGGCCTTATGCCATGAAGATGATGATGATGATAATGATTATAGGTCACTACCAGCATCTTAAATTGTACCCAGAAACTTGCCAGTACCAAATGCAGCTTGCACAGCAGAGGGGTCACATGTGCATACTGAGGCATGCCCATAACTGCCCATAAGATGGTCTTCAAGGGCAGCCCCATGAAGACTGCATTTCAGTAGTCCAAGTGTGAGATGATTAAGATATGAGCAACTTTGAAAAGAGAGTCCTGGTCCAAGAAAGGCTGCAACTGACATATCAAATGAATCTGGGCTCAGGTCTCCTGGCCACAGCTGTTCTCTGCTCTTCAAGCAGGAGTTGAGAACCTAGGAGGACCCCACATTATGCACTGGTTTTGTCTGGGGAAGTACAACCCCATCCAGAACTAAAAATGGCAGATCCCTGATGCCAGAAGATCCAAAACCACCAGACCTACTCTGTCTTGTCAAGCTTGCATTTAAGCCTGCTCCTCTCCATCTCCAAGCACTGGGCATTGCTCCTGAACAGCATTACTTGATTGGTCCATGGTCTGGATGTACAACTGAGTATCATCAGCATGACGACATTGGATCCTGTGCTGCCAGATGAATTCACTCAATGGCTTCAAATAGATAGTAAATAGGAGCGGTGAAAATTTTCAACCCTGAGACACATCACAAATAAGGGGCCAAAGGCTCAACCTCCTCCCACTCCCACCAACTCTAATTGGAACCAAAATGCTGAAAATATAAAGAACAGATTGGATCATGTTTCTATATGTGGTGGAAAAGCTATAAAGCTCCAACAATACTGGAAAACAGTCTATTGTAGAATGAAACAAATTCTGAAAGTCATAATTTCATTTCATGAGATATTTTTATTAAACTACATTAAACCATATATTCCTTCAAAATATCCTGAACTGGCATTGTATATGTTAATAGATGCAAGGATTATATATTCTTTTTATTGGAAAATGGTCTTTGATTCCCTGTATGGAAGAATGACCAACCAATCTGCGGGAGTACGCTTTAATGTCTAGAATAAATTAATATTTGAAAAGTAAATCTGATGTAGAATTCGATTCTATTTGAAAACCATTTTTAGACTACAATTTTATATATAGAATTGTGCCACATCCAAAATTCAGATTTTAGAGTTTATATTCTAACTTGACATATAATCTACATATAATTTACAGTGTTGTCTTATTGTTTATCATCTATAATTTCTCTTTTTTCTCTTTTTTTTGTTAATGGTTTCAATTGTGTTAACCAAGTATCTTTAAATTTAATAGAGTCATGTTTTTATTAGAAAATGGATATGAAATGCCATATAGTATTATAAGCTCTTAATGTTAGTCATTATATTATAAATTTGTTGGCTACCTGCCCATATTTCAGTGTTTATGTTTGGTTTTTAATCTGTATTATCTATTTTTTATATTCTTTTAAACGGGTATTTGTATTTTTTCCTATATCACATCATCACATCACATCACATCACATCACATCACATCACATCACATATATAAAAACAAACCAGACTGGAACCGACCCAGAAGAAAAGAGGAAAATAATATAATGCATGATCTTTGTAGCTGGCTTAAAAGAGCACTATGATCAGTGGTATTAAAAGCACTTGAGAGGTCAAGAAGATCATGTACAAGAAGTCCTCCTTAACATTTTAAACTGCAAAGTTGGTCCTTCAGACCGTTTTAATATGTGACCAATTCTGTTCCAGAGCCAGTACTGAAAACATAGAGACTGGCATTTCTGGGTTCATGTACTGCAAGTTTCAATCAGTGTAGATTTTTTCTACAATCTTTTTGAACTCCATAATAAACAAAAGGAAAACAGTGCCAGAACAAGTTCATGAAATACTATGGGGTAGTGTTAATCTTTCAAATATTAAAACAACAACAACATTAAAACGATGTGCATTTTACCGTGGCATCCTCCATGAGACTTTTCTGTTTCCTTCCACTTAACAGCTCTCAAGTCACCTTCCCATGCTGCACCTGGCATGGCACCAGGGACACCTGTGATTTGAAGAGAAGAAAGAGGAAGACAGACCTTGTGAAGACATAATTCTTATTCTTAAAATGCCAGGTAAATTACAGATAGTCCTTGTTTAACAACCAACTTGTTCAGCATGGGTGTGATTCAAGGTGCTGGTTATGACCTATTAAGCCCTACATGGCATAGAGCCCAATTGCTGGATGGTCCACCTATCTCCCATGGTTTCTGCCTAGTTGGTAAGACCCAACAGAATGGGCGTGCTCTGGATCCCCTTGATTAAACTGTTTCATCTTTCAGGACCCAGGAAGCAGAACTTCTCTATTGCATGGCCTGCCCTCTGGAATGAGCCCCCCCCCCCGAGATCCAGGTCACTCCCATCTCAATGGCATTTTGCAAAGGCTTAAAATCCTGGCTGTTCTCTCAGGCCTTGGGGTAGAGTGGATGGAGCCCTCTGTTAGATGTGTTTGGCATATGGTTGCATCTGTTTTGTCTGTCTGTCT